AGCTCGTCTATAAAGACTCCCTTCAGCTGGTCTATAAAGACTCCCTTCAGCTCGTCTATAAAGACTCCCTTCAGCTCGTCTATAATGACTCCCTTCAGCTCGTCTATAAAGACTCCCTTCAGCTGGTCTATAAAGACTCTCTTCAGCTCGTCTATAAAGACTTCCTTCACAGCTCGTCTATAAAGACTCCCTTCACAGCTCGTCTATAAAGACTCCCTTCACAGCTCGTCTATAAAGACTCCCTTCACAGCTCGTCTATAAAGACTCCCTTCACAGCTCGTCTATAAAGACTCCCTTCACAGCTCGTCTATAAAGACTTCCTTCACAGCTCGTCTATAAAGACTCCCTTCGAAGCTCGTCTATGAAGACTCCCTTCGAAGCTCGTCTATAAAGACTCCCTTCAGCTCGTCTATAAAGACTCCCTTCAGCTTGTCTATGAAGATTTCTACAGCTCGTCTATGAATACTCCCTTCAGTTCGTCTATGAATACTCCCTACAGCTCGTCTATAAAGACTCCCTACAGCTTGTCTACGAAGACTCCCTTCAACTGGTCTATAAAGAGCTCATCTATAAAGACTCCCTTCAGCTGGTATATAAAGACTCTCTTCAGCTCGTCTATAAAGACTCCCTTCAAATCTCGTTAGTAAAAAATACTTCCGTAAGAGCTCGTCTATAAAGTCTATAATCTGTCAATAAAGACTCCCTTCAGAGCTCGTCTATAAAAACTCCCTTCAGAGGTCGTCTATGAAAGACTCCCTTCAGAGCTCGTCTATGAAAGACTCCCTTCAGAGATCGTCTATAAAGACGCCCTTCAGAGCTCGTCTATAAAGACTCCCTTCAGAGCTCGTCTATAAAGACTCCCTTCAGAGCTCGTCTTTAAAGACTCCCTTCACAGCTCGTCTATAAAGACCCCCTTCACAGCTCGTCTATAAAGACTCCCTTCACAGCTCGTCTATAAAGACTCCCTTCAGCTCGTCTATATATAGACTGTCTTAAGAGGTAGTCTATAATTACTCTTTTCAGAGCTCGAATATAAAGACTCTTTCAGAGTCCGTCTATAAAAACTCCCATCAGAGCCTGTCTATAAAAACTCCCTTCCGAGCTCGTCTATAAAGACTCCCTTCACAGTTCGTCTATAAAAACTCCCTTTAGAGCTGGTGTAGAAAAATACTCCCTCTAGAGCTCGTCTATAAAGACTCCCTTGAGATCGGCTATAAAGATTCCCTTCAGATATTTTATTAAGACTCCCTCCACCTTGTCTATAAAGACTCCTTTCTGCTCGTCTATAAAGACTCCCTTCAGAGTTCGTTTTTGAAGACTCCCTTCAAAACCCGTCTCCCTTCTTCATTATTCTTATCAAATCCCAAAATTTGCCTTTCATTCCCCCACTGTACCACGACAATTGTCATTTGACTTCTTTACCGGGAGTCTCTTTTGGAGTCACAATTATCATTGTCGTCGTCCTCGTCGTAGTCGCCGTCATATTAAATACCACAATAACTATCCCCAGTGCGACAAATTACTCGACTTCTAATATGAATTTTTACGTTATGCGATGAGGTTGAGAATTTGGAAAGGAAATAACCATCCACCCCATCTTCTTCTGCTACTTTTTTCCCAAAGAAGTAGACAAGACAGCCAGAAAAAACAAAGCACACTCCCAGAGAGAGCGACAATCGCTCTGGCGCTCGGTGTCTTAATGTTTTGGCTGTCTCCTTCGGTTGGTGGTTATTCATAAACAACGAACGTGTGTCTCCACGATGCCGTTATGAGACGCGACTTAGTTGTCGCCTTTCCACGATGATGATGATGATGGCACTGCCGCGAGAGCCAAAGACGTTTGGCTTTGGCGGCATTGGTGCTGGCGGCTGGGCTGCCTCTTAATTTGTTTTTGGATCAGACAGATAGTCCGACACGCTTGATTTTGGTTTGGTTTTCTAGTTTTGTGTTTTTACAAAAAAGTTTTTTTTTATTGTGGGGCCACAAATACCAGCAGCAACAATTGAAGAGAAACGTTGTGGCGGCAACGTCAGCGCCAGTTCACCCAGCCAGTCAGCTAACCGGCCAGCCAACAGGCACCAAATAATCAGCCTCTAAAGTAGTGTGGCATCAACGAAGACGACGACGATTATGGTGATGTGGATGACGACGGAGACGACAACAACAACAGCCACCGATTTCCGACAAGTTGTCGTAATTTGCAACAATTTCCCAAATAGCCACTTGTTACGCGCACTTGGCGCCTTGATTTGGCGCTTTCGAATTGCGACGCTTTGGCACATCATTATCGTCGAAGTTGTTGTTGTTGTTGATGTTGCCACTATTGTTATTGTCTTGCTGTTGCTTTTGGTGTTGGTGTTATTGTTACTGATGGTGGCGTTGATGGTATTAGTCCCACTGATAATGATGATGATGCTGACGATGTTGTGTCCTTTAAGGCCGAACTAAAACAAAGGAAAAAACAATTGCGCGCAATAAAATCCTTTCAATGAGGCCAGAATAACATAACATATTGAAAGGAAGGACAATGAGAATAACTCGCACACGGAAGTAAACTAATCGGTGTGTGGTTATGTTATAAAGAAAGGAAGGACTTACATTATTTGGTAGAAATATCCTCGGGAATCCTTTTGATTGTTTTCAGCTCAGAATTATTATTGGCCCAGAACTATATGATTACTTTATTTTATAAAGTCAACATACCGACTCCTTTAGCTCCGTATTCATCTAAAAAGTTTCCCCTCAGAGATCATCCAGAGAAACTGCCTTCAGAGCTCTTCTACAAAGAATCCATTTATCTTGCCTGTAAATACACCCTTCAGGTCAAGTGTAAATACATAATTGCCTCGCCTAAAAAGTCTACCTTTATCTCTTCTTAAATGACCAAGACCAACTCAGGAATCTTTGTAGTCTATCTATCATGTCATTTCCATCGTAGTCTAGCTATCATGGCAGATTTCTCAAGAAACTTCTTTTGAAGTTGATCAGCTCGCAAAAATTCGAAAGATCTTGATTCGAGAAGATGAATCATTGTGCACCATGACCATACGAACCCTCACACATCGGTGAGGGTTGGGTGATGGCACCCAACAATTTATTTTCTCTTCCATGCCATGTTAGAGGAAACACCATCCAGAAGAATCATGATAAACTTTTTTATTTAAACAAATGAAAACTCTTCATAAAAATCGCTTAAATTCAAAATCACATCGATGGATAGAATTTCCGAACAGACCAGACATTCATTTTCCATATCTCGCCAACATTCGTCACAATACGAAACGCCACAATCCACGTTAGGGCAAATTACGAAATTGTTATCTGAAAAGAAAATAAAGAGGAAGATGAAGGAAGTCTTCTTCAAAGAAGAGCGGAAGGAGGTCTTCTTCATAGAAGAGCTCAAGGAGGCCTTATTCACAGAAGAGCTGGATGGAAGTCTTCTTGATAGAAGAGCTGGATGGAGGTCTTCTTCATAGAAGAGCTGGATGGAGGTCTTCTTCACAGAAGAGCTTAATGGAGGTCTTATTCATAGAAGAGCTGGGTGGAGGTCTTCTTCATAGAAGAGCTGGGTGGAGGTATTCTTCATAGAAGAGCCTCAAGAAGGTATTCTTCAAAGATGAGCCTGAAGAAGGTCTTCTTCATAGATGAGCTGGATGGAGGTCTTTTTCATTGAAGAGCTGGATGTAGGTATAGAAGAGCTGAAGCAGGAGGTCTTCTTCAGAGCTGGGTGGAGGTCTTCTTCATAGAACAGCTGGGTGGAGGTCTTCTTCATAGAAGAGCCTCAAGAAGGTATTCTTCATAGATGAGCCTGAAGGAGGTCTTCTTCATAGATGAGCTGGATGGAGGTCTTTTTCATTGAAGAGCTGGATGTAGGTATAGAAGAGCTGAAGCAGGACTTCTTCATAGAAATACTGAAGGAGGTGTTCTTATAGAAGAGCTGGATGTGTTCCTATAGAAAAACATATGGCCTTCTTATACAAGAGCTTGAAGACTTTTTATAGAAGAGCTTAAGGTATTCTTATAGAAGAGCTTGAGGTCTTCTTCTTATGGAAGAACTGAAGGTAGTTTTATAGATGAGCTTGAGGTCTTATTATAGAAGAACTTGAGGTCTTCTTATAGAAGTGCTTGAGGTCTTCTTATAGAATTGATTGATGGAGGTATTTTTCATCGAAGAGCTGGATGTAGGTATAGAAGAGCTGAAGCAGGACTTCTTCATAGAAATATTGAAGGAGGTGTTCTTATAGAAGAGCTGGATGTGTTCCTATAGAAAAGCATATGCCCTTCTTATACAAGAGCTTGAATACTTGTTATAGAAGAGCTTGAGGTCTTCTTATAGAAGAGCTTGAGGTCTTCTTATAGAAGAGCTTGAGGTCTTCTTATAGAAGAGCTTGAGGTCTTCTTATAGAAGAGCTTGAGGTCTTCTTATAGAAGAGCTTGAGGTCTTCTTATAGAAGAGCTTGAGGTCTTCTTACAGAAGAGCTTGAGGTCTTCTTATAGAAGAGCTTGAGGTCTTCTTATAGAAGAGCTTGAGGTCTTCTTACAGAAGAGCTTGAGGTCTTCTTATAGAAGAGCTTGAGGTCTTCTTATAGAAGAGCTTGAGGTCTTCTTATAGAAGAGCTTGAGGTCTTCTTATAGAAGAGCTTGAGGTCTTCTTATAGAAGAGCTTGAGGTCTTCTTATAGAAGAGCTTGAGGTCTTCTTATAGAAGAGCTTGAGGTCTTCTTATAGACGAGCTTGAGGTCTTCTTATAGAAGAGCTTGAGGTCTTCTTATAGAAGAGCTTGAGGTCTTCTTATAGAAGAGCTTGAGGTCTTCTTATAGAAGAGCTTGAGGTCTTCTTATAGAAGAGCTTGAGGTCTTCTTATAGAAGAGCTTGAGGTCTTCTTATAGAAGATGGACTGAAGCTAATACAACTATATGAACTGAAGAGACGGACCAAGTACAATCGTACAAATCCTTTTGGGAAACAGTTCCCTTGAACTAGTTTGTTCCTGCCTTCATTTTAACCGGTTTTAATAACAACGTCATACATACCCTCAAGTCCCTCACAAATCACACATTTCCGACGACCAGCTGGGAAGCGTCTTAGCCAATCAAAATGTTGAGGCCAACGCAAACGTAATTTCTAAAAAAAAAAAAAAGATATTTGAGTCTTTTTTATTCTGCGGATAAATTTTCACATAGCTCACCAATAAAACATTCGCCTTTAAGCGAACTTTTCGATTAGCAAAATTCAGTTTAGCCTGTCTCAACATTGCCTCCTTGACAGATCGCCGCTGCCTCAGCAGAAGATTATATAAATAAAGTATACGTTTCTTTTCCCGCGTACGATAAAAATAACCGCATATCAGGCGACGCATACGCAGAAAGGTTGCACTTTGATAGATTAGGAATATGACAAGGACGTAGAGGCTCAGGAGTTTTAAATAGAAACTAAAAATTAAAAAAAATATGAAGTAGAGATCAGAGGGAAAATAATAAAGGCGATATTATATGTGAATGCGGACTATAGGTTTTGAAATAAATCTATTAATCAGGACCTGTGAAACATAGAACTAAAACCGACTTGTTCAATTTTAACTTGCACAACTCTTTCACCACAATCACTTTAGAGGTGTTAATGCATATTCTCAAATATTGTTCAATTGAATATTTCAATAAATAACGACGATGTTTAATTGGGCGCCAATAATACCCAAAGATCACTAGTTCGTGTATGTTTGTTCAAAAGCCCGTTTACTTAAATCTACATGTTGTGTAGCAGCCTGGTTATATATTCCCTTCTAGTGATTGATTGGGCGCCAGTTATTAAACTTGGCTATATAGAGGTCAATAGAGTTGCAATTTGTGGAAGCTTAGAGTAGAAATCAGCTTTGCTTCCCAAATTTCTATGTTTCACTCTCACGCTGGTTCCTCCTAAAATCTCAACAGTACAGAATATTCTGAATATAAACACAAACAGTAAATAATTGGGCCGCAAGATGTTCAGTAAAAGAGTTGGGCGCCACTTTTTCCTCTTTTCAAACCAAGAACGAATAATCCTCGCTTGCATAGTCTGACCAAGACTCTGTCATGTTAGAGATTAACTGGGTGTCAATGTTTTAGTCCCGGCATTTTATGGATCACTACTGTTAGGACATTTACTACGTAATCTCTTTTCCTGACTTTCCTCTATTATATATTCAATTTCATTGGATTTTAGTTGAATTCCTTCAATGTCTCCAATGTTCACTAAATGAAGAACTGCATAAAGAATATATATTATTCTTCAGAATAAAATTCTATATCGATTTGGCCATGTCCAAACAACTAACAAATAAAGAAGACCTTGAGCTTCGGAAGAGCTTAAGGTCTTCTTCGTAGAAGAGCTGAAGGCCAAAAAATTGGTGATACCTCACTACTGTACCTTCTTCCCAACAGATTGGGATTCGGCAAACATGGTTCATTGGTCATATACGTGGAAACCCTTTCATGCATATTAAAGTTACGCATTGTTGTTCTTAAAAGCCTGGCAATCAATCCGGAACCATGGATCTGAAATAAGTAAAAACTAAATCTAATTAATTAGCTCCCCAATAAAATAACATCCTAACTTACCGCAAAATGTATGGTATGTTCGCCCTCCTGAACGAATGTGATTTGAGAATTTTTCCTTATTACCAATAATACCGTTACAATTATATAGTCCAAAAATAGAAAGAACATGGCGGCAATAATTTCCAAAGCAAATTGAATTAAGTGATAGGTAACTGCCCGCGATTCCTCTAAGGTACGTTGCCAGATATCGGTGACATCTATTAACTTTGTTTTTTCATACTAAAATTTTGAACTATATTAGTAATACAATGGAGGTTATAGACCGTAGGATACCTTTTTCAATGGCAGCAAATACATTTTCGATTTTTGTTTCCTCTCATAATCGATTCGTTTAAAATATTCCGTTATATAGATATTATCATATTCGATATTATTTTTGTAGTTCTTGTGATATGAAATGCATGCTGAAAGAGAACAATTTTGTTAGAGAAGATCTAACGGTTTGCCTATACGGGTCCAGGAGGTCATCTTCATAGAAGAGTTGGAGGTCTTCTTCATAGGAGAGCTGCAGGTCTTTCTTCATAGGAGAGCTGCAGGTCTTCCTTCATAGGAGAGCTGCAGGTCTTCCTTCATAGGAGAGCTGCAGGTCTTCCTTCATAGGAGAGCTGCAGGTCTTCCTTCATAGGAGAGCTGCAGGTCTTCTTCATAGGAGAGCTGCAGGTCTTCTTACTAGAAGAGCCAGAATATATTCATAGAGGAGCAGAAGGTCTTCTTCCTAGAAGAGCTGGAGGTCTTCTTCATATAAGAGCTGGATGTCTTCTTCATAGAAGAGCTGGATGTCTTCTTCATAGAAGAGCAGTAGGTCTTTTTCATTGAAGAGCCGGAAGGTTTGCTTCTTGAAAAGCCGGAAGTTTTTCTTCATAGAAGTATCGGAAGGCCTTCTTCATAGAAGAGCTGAAGGAGTTCTTCTTCTTACTAGAAGAGCTTAAAGAGGTCTCCTTCTTATTGGAAGATCAGATCTTATTGGAAGATCTTCATACTAGAAGATCTGAAGGAGGTCTTCTTCTTACTAGAAGAGCTGATGGAATTCTTCTTCCAAGAAGAGCTCCAGGAGGTCTTCTTCCTAGAAGAGTTCCAGGAGATCTTCTTCCTAGAAGAGCTCCAGGAGGTATTCTTCCTAGAAGAGCTGAAAGATGTCTTCTTTATAGAAGAGCTGAAGGATGTCTTCTTTATAGAAGAGCTGAAGGATGTTTTTTTCATAGAAGAGCTGAAGGAGGTCTTCTTCATAGAAGAGCTGAAGGAGGTCTTCTTCATAGAAGAGCTGAAGGAGGTCTTCTTCATAGAAGAGCTGAAGGAGGTCTTCTTCCTCATAGAAGAGCTGAAGGAGGTCTTCTTCCTCATAGAAGAGCTGAAGGAGGTCTTCTTCCTCATAGAACAGCTGAAGGAGGTCTTCTTCCTCATAGAAGAGCTGAAGGAGGTCTTCTTCCTCATAGAAGAGCTGAAGGAGGTCTTCTTCCTCATAGAAGAGCTGAAGGAGGTCTTCTTCCTCATAGAAGAGCTGAAGGAGGTCTTCTTCCTCATAGAAGAGCTGAAGGAGGTCTTCTTCCTCATAGAAGAGCTGAAGGAGGTCTTCTTTCATAGAAGAGCTGAAGGAGGTCTTCTCATAGAAGAGCTGAAGGAGGTCTTCTTCCTCATAGAAGAGCTGAAGGAGGTCTTCTTCCTCATAGAAGAGCTGAAGGAGGTCTTCTTCCTCATAGAAGAGCTGAAGGAGGTCTTCTTCCTCATAGAAGAGCTGAAGGAGGTCTTCTTCCTCATAGAAGAGCTGAAGGAGGTCTTCTTCATAGAAGAGCTGAAGGAGGTCTTCTTCATAGAAGAGCTGAAGGAGGTCTTCTTCCTCATAGACGAGCTGAAGGAGGTCTTCTTCCTCATAGACGAGCTGAAGGAGGTCTTCTTCATAGAAGAGCTGAAGGAGGTCTTCTTCATAGAAGAGCTGAAGGAGGTCTTCTTCATAGAAGAGCTGAAGGAGGTCTTCTTCATAGAAGAGCTGAAGGAGGTCTTCTTCATAGAAGAGCTGAAGGAGGTCTTCTTCATAGAAGAGCTGAAGGAGGTCTTCTTCATAGAAGAGCTGAAGGAGGTCTTCTTCATAGAAGAGCTGAAGGAGGTCTTCTTCATAGAAGAGCTGAAGGAGGTCTTCTTCATAGAAGAGCTGAAGGAGGTCTTCTTCATAGAAGAGCTGAAGGAGGTCTTCTTCATAGAAGAGCTGAAGGAGGTCTTCTTCATAGAAGAGCTGAAGGAGGTCTTCTTCATAGAAGAGCTGAAGGAGGTCTTCTTCATAGAAGAGCTGAAGGAGGTCTTCTTCATAGAAGAGCTGAAGGAGGTCTTCTTCATAGAAGAGCTGAAGGAGGTCTTCTTCATAGAAGAGCTGAAGGAGGTCTTCTTCATAGAAGAACTGAAGGAGGTCTTCTTCATAGAAGAACTGAAGGAGGTCTTCTTCATAGAAGAGCTGAAGGAGGTCTTCTTCATAGAAGAACTGAAGGAGGTCTTCTTCATAGAAGAACTGAAGGAGGTCTTCTTCATAGAAGAACTGAAGGAGGTCTTCTTCATAGAAGAGCTGAAGGAGGTCTTCTTCATAGAAGAACTGAAGGAGGTCTTCTTCATAGAAGAGCTGAAGGAGGTCTTCTTCATAGAAGAACTGAAGGAGGTCTTCTTCATAGAAGAACTGAAGGAGGTCTTCTTCATAGAAGAACTGAAGGAGGTCTTCTTCATAGAAGAACTGAAGGAGGTCTTCTTCATAGAAGAACTGAAGGAGGTCTTCTTCATAGAAGAGCTGAAGGAGGTCTTCTTCATAGAAGAGCTGAAGGAGGTCTTCTTCATAGAAGAGCTGAAGGAGGTCTTCTTCATAGAAGAGCTGAAGGAGGTCTTCTTCATAGAAGAGCTGAAGGAGGTCTTCTTCATAGAAGAGCTGAAGGAGGTCTTCTTCATAGGAGAGCTGAAGGAGGTCTTCTTCATAGAAGAGCTGAAGGAGGCCTTCTAAATAGAAGAGCTAAAAGGCATACTTCATGGAAGGGCTGGAGGTCCTTTCATTGTAGAACTGGAGGACTTCTTTATATTATAAAAGACCGGAAGGTTTTCTTATAGAAAAGCAGGAGGTCTTCTTATAGGAAAAATAAGGCCTTCTTAAATGAAATCAGAAGCTGTTCTTAAATGGAACCAGAATCTCTTTTTATATAAAATCGGAAGGTCTTCTTATAAAGAGCGGAAGGAATTGTTATAGAAGAACCGGAGGGATTTCTACAGAAAAGCGGTAGGTCTTCATATAAGTAACCATGCGCTTTTTTAGGATGCCAGAATTTCTTCTCTTAAAAGTTTCCCAGTAAGACTATAAGATTATCTTATAGAAAACCAATTTTTTTTTCTTATAGAAATTAGAAGTTCTTTTAATAGGAGACCAATAGATCTGCTTATAGAATATCAGAAGATATTCTTATAGAAGTCTAGAAGATTTTATAAAAAATCTTGAAGGTATATTATATTCCATAAGAAGATATTTTCGAGTTCTATAAGAGTAAACTTTATGAGATCCACTAAGCTTCATAAGAAGACCTTCTGGTACTCTATAAAAACTCTCGGGATATAAAACCCCTCTTTTTCTCTTACTTACTCTTCTTCTTTTCTTACTTACTTACCCATCAACACCCTAAATAGCATAAAAGCCAGGATTTGTTCCAATAGCTTCATAACAGAATCAAATACTTTTTTCCGCATACTGAATTCTTTGGCAACCGCTTTGGCGGTTTGTTTAGCTGATCTATACTAAATAAAAATTATCAGATCTTAAAAGAAATATTCCAAATTTTAACTCACTGAAATTCCGGCATCGATTCCGGGCTCGCTATAGCATAATGGACCTTAACATCTGAATTCTCTTTATAAAGTTTACTTTCATTGTGAACTAAATTAAAATAAGTTTGACCAAAATCCGCGGGAATAGCCGCCGATGGATCGCATATTCTCTGCGGATCACCCAAAATATTAATTTTACAAATAAAATTAATTTTAAATGGCCAACAAATAAGGGTTCGTAAAAAGATTGGTATTTTCTCGCGACATTTTTCCAACGAATTTGCAAATGCTTTGCGACACCTTGCCTTGCCGCTATCCAATTGCAATTGGCAACGTTTGCGAAATTTATTTTTATATTTTTCTTCAATGTATTCGGGAGAGATTTCCTCCTTATCGGGATCTTTTAAATCTCGTCTAGATCTTATGGTGTTATTTGCTTCCAAAGTATCATTTACCGTTAAGGGAGGATCATCTCCCATAATCTCTTCGTGTATGGCTTTTGTGACATTTCGAAATTCCGCAAATGTTTTTTGTACCTCTCGTATATCATCTTTCATATGGGCCAGGGTGTTTTGAAAGGGTTTTGTCATTAAATCAAAACGTGTTCGTGTCAGATTTAAGGTTAATATTTTTGAACAGCTATAGACGCGAACTATTTCTCCGGCATTTAACGAAAGATTTTCAATGGGACCTATAATAAATTTATTTTAAATCGAGAAGATAATTTAGTTTTGAGATACTGACCTGCAATAACAAATGCAAAACACAAGGCCCTCAAGTAACCCCGGCCAGATTTCCCCATCAGTGCTATAAATATTAAATATACGACACATTTAACCGAATCGGTGAATACGAAACCGCAGCCTAGAATGGAAAAATTGAAAAAAAGAAAACAACAAAATTAAACAATCGGGAAATCAATTAAAAAAATAATTGGGATTCCAGGCTATTATTAGAGTTTCTACTGGTCTTCTATAAAAAATTTATTCTACTCATCTATAACAACTTCTAGGCTTCTATATTTGACGACCGTCAGGACATCTTCTGTGCATCAATAATAAGACTCTCTTTTCTTTATTCTAATAAAGCACGGTATCCAAATAACCCTATGGTATCCAAATTCGGCAGCCAAATTCATGTGTCTTCCGATCCATGATAAAAGGGAAATAAAAGACCTCGTCTCCAGATTCAATCCAGTAGATGAGCGAATTGCTATAATCCATATGAAAGTGAAGTTCATTTGCGCCCATGTTCCGACCGAAGACAAAGATGAACATACCAAAGACATGGTTACGAGCGCCTAGAAACAGCATATGACCGCTGCCCTGGCCATGGCATTAAAATTCAGATAGGAGATTTTAATGAAAAATCGAAAGGGAAATATTTTTGGCCCCAACTTCGGAAAATTCATCCTCCATGAAGAAACATCAGACAAAGGCATGAGGTTGATTTATTTCGCAGCAGCAAAAAAGCATGCGAAAAACGCAGCATATAGGGCAACCCTGCCGACAGTGGCAACACGTAATGTGATAGAGAATTATCGGGACAAAAGGAGAGAGGAGGAACGTATTTTCAGAAAAAAGAACAAGAAAACCGAAGCGGGAGCAAATCTAGATATACAGGAGTCAGAGAGAAGCCCGGAAATTTTACAACGAGTAAAACACCAAACCGAAGGCTTTGGTGCAGAGAGATAAAGAAGGAAACCTGGTGACAGATACAGACAGCGTGTTGAGGATTTGGAACGAGTATTTTGAAAAGTTTCTAGTATCAAATAGTAGCGGTATATCCCACCTAGCCAAGATGAGGTCAGAATAGCAATCAATCGGCTGAATAATAATAAATTACCGATGTGTTACCAGCCAAACTATTCAAGAATAGTGGTCAGATGCAGGTCAGAAGCATTCACCACTTAATTAGTACAATTTGGCTAGACGAATGCATGCCCAATGATTAGAACCTCAGCATCCTGTTTCCGTGCAAAAAAAAACGAGACAACTATAGAGGAATTAGCCTTCTTCTCATCGCATATTAAGTGCTATCCTGCGTGCTGTGTGATCAATGGTCAATGACATTATTGGACCATGCCAATGCGGCTCCATTGACCAGATTTTCACTCTGCGCCAAATCCTGGAAAAAAAACCCACGAAAAACACATCGACACATTCCACCGATTCGCCGCAATGCGTTTGGCATTCCTGCAAAAATAAATCGGCTATGCTGGGTAACTTTGAGTGACACAAGGGCAGCAGTGAAAATTGGAAAAGATCTCTCCGAGCCATTTAATACCGAAAGAGGATTCAGGCAAGGTGACAGTTTGTCGTGTGACATGTTCAACATCCTGCTGGAAAAGGTCATACGAGAGGTGAAGATGGACAAAAATGACACTCGGTAGACCAAACAATACATGTTACTCGTCTACGCCGATGACGTCGACATAATTGGGTCTAACATTGTGATCGGTAACAGCCAACTATGAACAAATTGAGAAGGAGTCAGCCAAAGTGGTTCTTTCGGTAAATGACGAGAAGGCCAAGCTGATGGTATTAACGTGCAAGACGTCCAGTAGGCTCGGACCAAGTGTGAAACTTGAGAACTACAGCTTCGAGGTAGTGAAACATTTTATATAACTGGTACCGACATAAACTTATGACATTAATTGTAAAATTCGGAGAAGAATGGTGTTGACCACAGATGCTACTATGGCCTAAGTAAGCAGTTTAGAAACAAGACCACCTACCGCCACACAGTAGGAAAATGCAGATCTAGCGCGCAGGAAATAAAAGTAGATGTTTTACTGTATGTTTATCGATATTTTGGATAAGAATAGTTTTAGATGGACAATTTTAATTATTTTATAAAAAAATTTGGCAATTTTTATTATTATTAACCCATTAAGCGCCGATTTTTTTTTTTTTTTTTGTAGAAAAAACTTAAATTTTTGGGTGAAAATTACTATTTTGAAGCATTTGAAGCATTTTTAAATAAGCACCATTTTTCGTTATAACTAATAGTACTCCTAAAATGGGAGCTTCTTTCAAAAATTCCGAAACATTTGGAGGGTAAAAAGTGGGGTAAGGGCAAACACTATTGTTATTATATATATCTTTATTATTGTTAATATTACATATCTAAAACATTAAATTATATATACTTACAAAATTTAGGCGTTACTTATTAAATAATAATCACATTCAGAATCCGAGTTTTGATCTGAATTATTTGGTAGCATTGGATCCTCCAGTAGTTTAAGGACTTCTTCAGATAGTGGCTCACTATATCGATGGTTAAGAGATGTACTACGAGACAAACTTGATATTTTTGGATCAGAAGAAAATAGCAACCTATTGAGAAGATCCCTCATTGTTTCCTCACGACTAATTTTTCAGGTGGATTCCATGGCTTCTTCAGACAACATTCCTATGGGCAAAGCTGCACATTTAATTATATCAGCTCCATGCACTAATATTTTGTGTATGCTTGAAGGCATATAGAACCAAGGATATAATTCCACGAAAAAAATAAATGTTTCCTCAGTAAGTTTTTCAAATGACTCTGCGTTAATAGTATATCCACAGGCCATGGTTGAAAGGATGACACTACAATTTTTAATTAATTTTTCATCAACACCAGTTATAGACGACGCCTAGCTGTATTGCCATCGTTTGTTGTTCCGGATACTGACTTAGGTGTGTCAACAATAATGTGCATTACTTCCTTCAAATCATTAATGATACGTGCCTTCCTTTCTTCGAAAAGTGGCCGATCGGAGCTATTAATTTTCCACTTTTTCAAAACCAGACGGTATGAAATGTGCAATATACATCCTAAACATCGAATCCTTGCATGTGAGGTCATTGGAAACCCCATAACAGGTATAATAAAAGTCGATAAATTCCACTTCCACGCACAAAATTTCCGTTTGCTTATAGCAAAAACCATATATGTAGGTAAAACCGTATATATATGAATGTTACTCCAATGATATTTTTTCAGGGTTCATAAAGTAGACCCTTTACCTGTGGTATTTGAGAAGACTCTTACAACCGATTTCATTGTAATTTCAATTTTTATTTAGAAAGACATTTGGAATCAATGTATATTCAGTGCATGAGTTTAATATCAGTGTTTGGAGCAGCTTACTTAAATACCCTCATTTTCATACTCACACCCATTACTCTGGAACTTTAGGACGGACAACGCAGAACTCGACTGCACTCCATACTAAACCCCTATTTTAATTGAAGGAATTTAAAAAAACGGACCTTACATATATTTAGCCCGAAACACCTAAATTAAAATAACTAATGGGTTATATAACTATATCATTTAAGGGAACCCCCCCCATTCTCGATTTTTTATTTTTAAGATTTTAAATGGGCTGGTAAATGAATACCAATGCTTGTTAAGGTTTGTAACTTGGCACATATGTATTTGAAGATTTAAAAAGGAAGAAAAATAATTTACCAAAATTTGTTGTTGTTGTTGTTTTGTTGTTGTTTTTTGGGTTCAAAGAAAAGTCCATATTTTCGATGGCGGGCATGATAACTCCTCACTGGAACATCGGAATCCGAAAATTCCAACTGTTTTAGAAAGAGGACATGTCTGGCTCTCGTATGAACTATTGACTTCGCACAACAATTAACAAAATGGCGGAACTTTGAAAAAATTTTTATGGAAAATCGCCTATTTTTTACCACAAACTAAGTTAAAAAATAAGGAAGATCTTCACCGATTAGCTTTATCCTAGTTCATACGAGAGCTACACACTCCCAGAGAAACGTGTCAAAATTTGAAACCGATTGGATTATTAGTTTTTGAGTTATCGTGCCCGCCATTCGTTTTGAGAAAAACGCGTTTAAAGTTTGAGAAGCCCTTTAGCCGTCACTTGATGCTAACACAATAAATCGGCTATATCTTCAAGAGTTCTTGAGATTTTCACTTGAAATTTTGTAGAGACATTCTAGAATTAGAGTAGATTCGAATTAAATCAAAAAAATTTTTGACACCGAGAATGGGGGGGGGTCCCCTTAATTAAATACCAATACTATATATCAAAAATGGACAACATTTTATAATAATATATTCACAGAATGCACACGACCATCGCAATTTTATAGCTAAAAAATACCATTTTTAACATTGGAAAAAATTTATATTTTAAATGTACCGTTATTCCGTTCTAGCTTATTAATTCGGATTATTTTATACGGACTTAAGTACTCTCAACACTCTACTTTAAAACTGCATTAACATTTTAAAGTTTCCTTCAACTTCATTTTTTTTATTTTCTGCGCGCTAGATCGGTATTTTCCCCCACTGTGCGCCAGACCAAACTCAGACTCTACAAGACGCTGATACTACCCGTGCTATTGTATTGATCTGAAGCATGGGTGGGTACTTACGCAAGCAGAGGAGGCAGCTCTTGGAATGTTTGAGAGAAAATTTCTCCAAAAGATCTATGGCCGATCTGCGTTGACGGTGAATATCGCCGTCGAATGAACCATGAGTTGTACCAGCTATTCTCGGACATAGGCATTGTTTGACGTATCGAGATGCAGCGACTACTTTGGATAGGTCATGTTGTGAGAATGGATGAAGATGCCCCAGCTCAAAAAGCAAACTAATGGTTCACGCAGAAGGGGATAGCCAGAAAATGGATGGAATGTTCAAGTGGATGACAACATTGCGGAACGTGGTCTTTCAAATTGGAAAAACTGAACAAAAGACTGGCGCGCCTGGAAATCTTTTTTAAGTTCGGCTTATGGAACGAAAGTTTTGTCACAAGCCAGCTAAGTAAGTGCGTAAGTAAACCGACTAACATCACATTAGTATGAATTTCCAAAACTTCTTACATAGCTCAATTCTACAGTGATCCTAACTCCAAATGTCAAGATTCCAGCTCTATCGGTTTACCCAAATCCAAATTTGGTACCATTTAGTACACATTAGAAAACTTCGTACATGCCCCAATCCTACACCCCAACAGTTACCCTAACACTAAAAAATTGTACCGCATTTAGTACGAATTCACATACCTACACACAAATTGTACCAAATATAGTACCATTTAGTACCTTTCGTAAACATAGGTACAAATTTCCAAAACTTCCAACATATCGCCTGCACTCCGACGATAATGTTAATTTCAAATTTCAGAATTCCAGCTTCATCCGTTTCTCCAAATTCAAATTGTACCAAATTTAGTACATTTTAGTACATTTCATATACATGAGTACAAACGCTTTCAAAACCACCTCCTAATATTCACCCTACTTCTCAATCTTAATTCGCATTACAAATTTTACGTTTTTAGTTCTATCCATAGTACCGACTTTCGTACAGTTTAGTACTTTTCGCAAACATATAGTTCAAATGTCCTTTGCTACATCTATTCTACACTCCATAAGTGACCATTATTTCAAATATAAGTGTTCTAGCTTTAACGGTTCGCCAAATACAAATGGTACCACATTTAGTAATTTTTGTGCCGTTCTAGTGCGAATTTCCAAAAACCCAGCCTTATCTGACACGTTTGGACCATGATGACACTGACCCAATATTTCTAGCTTCAGCCGTTTCGGCAGGGCGTTGATGAATAGTTGACTATAATTAATTATCGATGAACGTGGAAAATACAACAAGGTTCAGCAGGATTTAAAAATAAATAAAAAAACAAATACCTGGTCCTGAAATCCCATTTTTAAGATGGGCATGATTAAACAATGGAACATGAATAAAGTTAATTAAAAACTTACTCACAAATATAATCATTGTTGTCATAACGATTGTCTCGTACTTCCTTGGGAAGATGAAGGAATTAAATATCAATTTGCACAGTAAATATGCACACAGTGCACCCATTAATGCACTGCTTACGTATCGCGTTTTTCTCCATGTGTCTTTTCTGCGACCATACCAAATACAATAGAAGGGACGACAGTTTTCTTTTAAAAATATACGTAACTTATTTCTAGCAAAATATAACATTTTTTCTGACAAATCTAAAATTATAACAACAGTAGAAACAAATATAAAATAACCGCACAGTAAAATGTTTCGTTAAAGAATTCATAAACTTTTTGTAAAGCAAGAATTCATATTTACCAATGACCTTACTTTTATTTAATAAAAAACTCATAGTTCTCACAACATGACCTAGCCAACGTAGTCACTGCAGCTCAATATGTCTAACAATGCCGATGTCCGAGAATAGCTGGTACAGCTCATGGTTCATTCCACGGCGATATTCACCATCAACGCAGATTGGCCCATTGATCTTTCGGAGAATTTTTCTCTCAAACACTCCAAGAGCTGCTTCATCTGCTTACGTAAGTATTCATGCTTCAGATCCATAGTATCAGCGTCTTGTAGAGTGTGAGTTTGGTCTGGCGGGAGATGGTGAGTTTGCTTACTCAGACCATAGTAACATCAGTTGCTCAACACTATCCTTATCCGAGTAGCACGGGTAGTATCAGCGTCTTGTAGAGTGTGAGTTTGGTCTGGCGGGAGGTGGTGAGTTTGCTTACTCAGACCATAGTAACATCTGTTGGTCAACACTATCCTTATCCGAATTTTAAAACTGATGTCATTAGTTTTATTTATGGCGGTTCCTAGATATATAAAATCGTTGACTACCTCGAAGCTGTAGTTCTCAGTAGTAGTAGTAATACAGTTGATCCAAGTCTACTGGACGTCTTACGCGTTGATACCATCAGCTTCTTCTTCTCGCCGTTTACTGCCAGACCCACTTTGGCAGACTCCTTCTCAATTTGTTCAAATGTGGCTGTTGCCGCTCGCAATGTTCGACCATTATATCGATGTCATCGGCGTCGAGTAACATGTGTTGTTTGGTGTACTTAGTGTCATTTCTGTTCACCTTTGCGTCTTGTATGACCTTTTCCAGCAGGATGTTAAAAATATCACACGACAAACTGTCACCTTGTCTGAATCCTGGTTCGGTATTGAAGGGCTCCGATAGGTCCTTTCCGACTTTAAATGCTGACCTTGTGTCATTTAAAGTTATCCTGCATAGCCGTATTAATTTTGCAGGATTGCCGAACGTAGACATGGCTTTCAACAACTCTGAACGGATAGGGATGTCGAATGCGACTTTATAGTCGACGAATAGGTGGTATGTGTCGATGTGTTTTTCGTGGTCAATGGTGGATTTGCCAGGACTGAAGCCGCATTGGTATGGTCCATTGGCTTCAATCGTTCACACAGTACACTGTATAGCATTTTATATGCGATGGGAAGAAGACGAATTCCTCTATAGTTAACACATATCGTATTGTCTCCTTTTATGTGCACGGGACAAAGGATGCAGAGGTTCCAATCATTGGGCATGCATTCTTCAAGCCAAATTGTACTAATCAGCTGGTGCATGCTACCAGCATCTGACCAGCAGTCTTGAATAGTTCGGCTTGTAACCCAATCCAATTGTTAATAAAGGTCTTCTATCCAATTGTTAATAATTTAAATTTCTCATCACATTTTCTATAAGAATTCCCACTAATTCAAATAGTCAAAACAAATATAATTTAAATTGTTTTTTTATGTTTTTATTATTTAGTAATTTGCTTTATATCCACTAAAGCTTTATAAAACCTTATTAAATATGTATGTTTGGGTGTACGTATTTATGTATATTGCAAATACATAATTATATTTATAATAAATTTCGATACAATATCTAAATAAAACAAAAACTAAGTTCGATTTAAAAAACCCCTAACTTCCAAACCAGGTTGGAAGTCTATTCATCAATAACATAGTCCTCATCGAAATCATATTTATCATCGGTATTTGTGCTTATACTGAAGCTATCTAAGACATCGGCAATTTTGGAAACTTTCTTTTCCTGTTTCTTCTTTTTCTTCATCAACTCTTTGATGTTTTTGTTAAGGGTTTGATTGCCTAGAAAAAAGAACAGAAAGAAAAAATAAATATTATATTTAATAAAATACCAAAAAATTTCCTATATATGGAAAATAGTTTAATTTCAATTGTAAACTGTTTATTTAAGTATATTCGACCTAATACGCCCTTACCTTCCAACTCCAAAGTGGGATCATTTTTCTCCTTTTTATCCTCATCATCCATTTTCCTCTTCTTTCGCTTACTATGAACTTCAGTTTCATCAATTATTGTTTTCTTGTCATCTTCCTTCTCCTCCGCCTCATCATCATCCATTGGTTTATATTCCACCGGACCACTTGATGTAATTTCCATAACATCATCTTTTTTAACATCGAAATTATTAAGAATTTCAGTTTCCATCTGCTCGAAATTATCCACATCAAACTCGCGGGCTTCAGCATGTACAATCGAGGCACTAACATGGACATCGTTGTTTTCCACAACCTCTGGTGGTTGTGTACAATATTTAATTTTTCCTGTATTCCAATCGTTTAAGACACTACGTGCAGCGGCAACAACATCTGGTACACCTTTTTTCAAAAATTTACCCATACGTGCTGCTTTCTTGGCAAAGAATTCTTCAAATGTATCATATTCGGTGATATCATATAATTTACAGAAATATTCTTTGCTGGCACGTTTCAGAACACTTTCGGCCACGGTGAAAGGATCTTTGACATCTCCGACACGTTGTGCATTCTTGAGAACAGCAGGCATATTTTCATTCTTGGCGGAGTTTGCAAAGACAATACCGGGACAATCGATTAATTTAATTTTGGAGTCCAATTCAACTTCTTGCATAGCTCTGAAAAGGGAGATGGGAAAAAAGAGATTGTTTAGTAATGGGATATAGAGGAAATATTAATAACATTTGGTCAGAATTGATATGAAAGGGTAGGTCTTCAATTTATAGTTATTTCTATCAACAGGTATGCTCTGGAGAAAACTTGCTATAAGGGATAAAATACCTTTAACAAGACTTCTAGGGATACAAGAGCTTCTATAGGGTCGCATGTAGATAACAAGTCGTCTAATTTCAGATAGTCGTCTGTGGATAGAAGTCAATGAAAAGAAAGGTAAATATTTTACAGGACTTTTTTAATCAGAGGAACTTAAAAACGTATTTTTTTAGAGAGACGACCGTCCACAGATGACAAAATTTTAACAGGGATTCAATGGATAGACGATTTTCAACAAATCTCTTACAGGCCTTCAAAGAATAAAATACCTTCAACAGGGTTTCTATGGATAGAAGACCTTCAAGAGGACTACTATGGATAAAAAACCTTCAACATGTCTTCTATGTTTAAAAGCTCTTCAACAGGACTTCCATGTATAGAAGACCTTCAAGAGGTCTTCTTTCAATAGAATACCTTCAGCAGGTTCTATGGATAAGTCTTCTATGGATAGAAGACCTTCAATTGGTCTCCTATGGTTAGAAGACCTTCAACAGGTCTTCTTGCGGTATACGATCTTCAATAAGTCTTCTTTGGATACAAAACCTTCAATAGGGGTTCTATCGATGGAAGACCGTCTATAGGTCTTCTATATAGAAGGTCTTTTAGAGATAGACAACCTTCAACAAGTCTTTTATAAATTGAGATTCTAAGGATAAAATACCTTCAAAAGGTCTTCTATAAATGGAAGACCCTGAAAATGACTTCTAAAAAAATGTTAAAATCTATATAAAAAACTCACCTTGTAACACCTGGAGTACAACCCACAGAACAAGCTTTGCCACGAGTCAATGAATTAATAATGGAACTTTTACCCACATTCGGTATACCAACAACGCCGACACGTATCGATGTCTTAATGCCTTTGTTGCGGCAATAATTACCCAACATGGACATTAAAAGTTCAGCACCCACACACATGGAGCCTTGCATAGCTTTCTCCGAATTCATTTGATGAAATTTACGCCTTCCTAATTTGGTATTTTGATCTTGTGTGGAGGCCTTAAATGCGGTGACGGGACCCAAACGTCTAAAATATTTCAACCAGGCATTTAAATTTTCTTTCGGTACCAAATCGGCCTTATTTAAAATCAGCACTAAACGTTTATTGCCTGGTGCAGCCTTAACAGCCCGCTCAACCTCCGTACAGCGTGTACCCAAGGGATCGCGAGCATCCACAACCTCCAGTACAACATCAGCATTTTCCAAAACTTTTTTGAATTCTTTGAAATATTGTTTCAACGATTGTTCCTTGGTATCGGAGGTTTTGTATTGTTTCTGAAAGAAAAATACAAGTTTAATAACAAAAGCAACAACAGCAATTATTTTCAATTTATCCCACCTCATCACTGGCAACATCATTTTCATGCATTATTGTGTGCACAGTACCACGCATATCAGCATCATCGGCCAAGGCTTCCAAAGTCTTGAATTTATTTTGACTCCTCTCCAAACGTATGGCTTCACGTTTACGTTGTTTCTCCTCCTCTTGGCGCTTCTTGGCCTCCTCCACTTCTTTCAGGATATCTTCTTTGAAGGGACATATATTGGGAATTTGTATGAGCTTCTGTTTCTTACTGCCCTTCTTGGGATTCTTCTTTTCGGCCCGACGCACTTTCCTATTGTGTTCACGGACTTTCTTTTCAATTTTATGTTTGAGTTTGCCCGTCATACGCTTGGACTTTTTGGCTGGAAGAAGGGAAAATTTGTTGGAAATATTGTTGGAAATATCAGTTAATAATTTATTTGATAAAAACTTACTTTTTAAACGTTTTAAAGCCATGGTTTCTGCGGTCCCTGATGTAAATACAACTTAAAAATACCAAACACGTGAAACCAAATGAAATGGTTTTGATACAAATGTCAAAAGCAACGAGCTTCTATTGCTCTCTCAGCGTGAGAGATGAGAGAGAACATGTCAGTTGCCACATTGACGCTAAAGACGTGTGGCCATATCAAAATAATATTATGCTATATTTACACTGCAGGTGTTTTATGGAAATCATTTCTGTATGATGATTTGTGATAAAATAGGGTTTATGTAAATATAGCAAGATATATGTCTTATAGTGCATTTACACCTAACTAGTTTTTTTTTTTACTCAACATTTAAATATCACACCCTCTACCATAAACTGGAGTGTATCTTTAATTTGTCATTCTGTTTGCAACACCTCGAAATATAAACCAATTATTTAAAGCTAATCTTCATCAGAGTAACTATACATCGATTATAGATAGTGCTTTGACATTTTGCACATACTTTGTTATTGCAATTAGGATACTTGGTATTAAAAATAGGATATATCAGTCCAGGTTATGATATAGCCCTAATAAAACGATACCCCCCCAATATTAGGTATTTTAAGGATATTTGTGCATGCTTTTTGGAACAAATTGGTTGTATTTTGGATTATCATTGGGATATTTTGGACATATGTACATTGTTATTACCACCAGGATGGTTGGTATTAAAAATAGGATATATTAGTCCACGTTATGATATAGACCGGGAAAAAATTTACCCCCAAATATTCGGTATTTTAAAAATTTTTTCCCTTTTTTTCAATTGAATTGGCTGTAATTTGGTATTTTGGATTCTCATTAGGTTACACATCCTCCTACCAAAAATTATCAATATTGATCCATATATTGGAGTTTTTGGGCATATTGGCTTTAATTTGTTATTTTAGATTGTGTTGTGGTAGTAAATCTTCCTACTAATAGTGATCAATATTGGTCCACTTTTTAGGGAAGCAATTTGATATTTTGGATTCTCATTTGGTCTGTTCCCGTACTGCAAGAATCTACCAATTGAGTAGAAAAATTTCCCTACCAAAAATAATCAATATTGGCCCATGTTTCTGGGTACTTATTTAGCTGGCTCTAGACAAAATGGTTTGTTCTATAAGCCGAGCTTAAAAAAAATTTCCATGCGCGTCGGTCTTGTGCGCAGCTTTTGTTATTTGAAAAACCCTGTTTCGAAGTGTTGTCTTCCACTTGATTTTTCCATCGTGGCCTTCCACTTCTCCGTGAACCATCAGTTGGCTCGCTTTTATATGCCTTTTGAGCTGGGGCATCTTCATCCATTCTCACAACATGATCTAGCCACTGTAGTAACTGCAGCTCGATACGTTTGACTATGTCGATGTCCAAGAATATATGGTACAACTAATCGTTCATTCGATGCCGATGTTCACCGTCGACACAGATCGCCCCATAGATCTTTCGGAGAATCGTCCTCGCAAACACTCCAAGAGCTCTCTCATCTGGTTGCGCTAGTACCCTGCTTTAAATCCATACACCAGCACGGGTAGTATCAGCGTTTTGTAGAGAGTGAGTTTGGTCTGGCGAGAGGTGACTTTGTTTCTGAATTGCGGTACCGAGGTATATGAAATCGTTGAATACCTCAAAGCTTTGGTTTCCAAGTTCCACAATTTGACCGAATCTACTGGACTTCATACCATCAGTTTGGTCTTCTCGCCATTTACTGCCAGTCCCACTTTGGTGGACTCCTTCGCAATTCGTTGATAGGTGGTTGTTACCGAATTTTCCGGGTTGCCCCCACAACCATTATTCGTCTCCCGATCGACTCAAGGAATTTAAATGCACACCACCTGGTTGTGGTTTAAAAATGTGGGCCCTACCGAACATAACACGTTTACATTTAACCGGATTTCATTAACCCAGTGGGTTTCAATTGTCAATTCCTTTGCATATATGCCAAAAAATCTTCATAAAATAGGATAACCCGGTAAAAAGCTGTAATGTATATTCCGTTTTAGCTTTTTTTGTTAAAAATATCACAATTTCCGATAGCCAGATCCATTCTGCTTATCTTGTCTTCAAAATATGCCAATTTACAATTAATTAAATCACCCACATGTAAATCTTCTTTTGTCCGGCAAACAATGCAATCGATATTAACGTCACACAAAAATAAACTATCGATAGTTGAATAATCGTTTTTTGTCCATCCAACTGTAAAACAGCTGTTTCTGTGATGTAATGTCAAGCATTTTGTTTCGAGTGTAAGCCGAAATTTCTGCCAGTTTACTGTCCATGCTATAATAGGCCATTTTGGCAATTCCTGAGTGAAAATGTCTTTGAAAACTATATACTCGGCTCTGCTCAAACCCGCCAATCGTTCACTGGTACAACAGCAATGGACAAAGGCCTTGCACAGTTCTGCTGTCCTCATGAAGGCTGAAGATCGTAAACAAATGCTTGCATCAATGCCAGGTCGTGATGAGGGTACAACCGGTGAAAAGTCCATTGATATTGATACCTTGTTTGGAAAGTAAGTTGGAGGTGGATCTTTGTAATTTTTATAAAGTGTATTGAAATAAAATATCTAAATATTTCCAGAAAGGAGAAATTTTTTCCCGATGCCAGTACCTCAACTCAGCTGTTCAATGGCCTGCCATTCAATGAAATACCAATAGCGCATATTCGTGTATCATCCAATAATACCATTATTGTATTTACAGATAGTAAAGGTGAGTGGAATAAATACTTGTGGATATTATTGGGCATGGAATAGTGGGGAACAAATTCTATTTAATTTTAAGGGATCCCCAGAAATGTCTACATAGGTGTTCCTCTTTTGTTACTGATTAATGTTTATCTTATGTTGTCAATGGGGAGATATGGGTCTCCAAATATTCGCACAGAATATTGCATTTTCCCATGAAGCAATACAAGTAAATTATTAATTAATTTGAAACAGTCATAGTCACATTTCGGCCACAAATAATTTTGAAAATTGTACTGAGAATAACTAATCAAGTTATCCATAATTTTAACTTATTAAATAAATGTATTTATTTATATTTTATAGGCGTACCACGTTTAACACATTCCTGCGGTTGTGAGGGCTTTAAAAACACCCGTAAAGGTACCAATATTGCTGCGCAGGCCACAGCTATTACTGTTGGCGGGGTAAGGTTCCCTATTTGTATTTAAAAAAAATGGTTTGCTTATGAATTCGTTTTCAACATTTCAGAAAGCCCTTGAATTAGGCTGGAAAAATATCCGTGTCAAGGTTCGTGGATTGGGACCCGGCAGAATGGTGAGTACTAATTACGTAAATCATTTTGAATATTCTTTATTAACCCATAATTGCAATTCCATTTTGTTGCTTAAAACAAAATTAAAATTAGAAATTTCCTTTTAAACAACAAAAATTTTATTGAACTGGGTAAAAAAGAAAGAAAATGTCTACATTTTATATTTTAGATGAGCTTGTGTCGTATCTGAACCGATGCGTAAATGGGGTTTAAAAAAGTCTTCAAAAAAACTGGTTGGTTTGATATTTTTTCCACTGAAGCGCTAACCAAGTTTTTTTTATTTTTGTGCTAGCAAAAGCTTTTATTGAAATTCTTTCAACATCCGGGTGGATATGGATGACATACTGCAAGAATAAATTTACTATTTTCTTCGATAACATAAAGGAAATTTTGCTATCGTAGTAAAAAATAGTAGATTCTTGCAGTACGGGAACATACCAATATTTTAAATGCTGCTAATTTGGATTTTTAAAGATTTTTTCGTGGAATTTTTGAAGAATATTTAGAAAAAAGCTAACATTGTCTCAATTGAAAACTTAAGACCTATTTCCATTCTTCCTATTTTATCTAAATTGCTTGAACATGTATTGAAGCGTCAGTTGCTGGTGTATATATAAACTCAAACCAGTGGTTAAGTGATGCTCAGAGTGGCTTTCGTGAGAATAGGAGTACTGCTGATTTATAGGTGGGAGTAACGGATACTATTAGGAGGAACTTTAATGATCACAAACTCTCAGTCTTACTCTCTATGGATCTAGAGAAGGCGTTTGACAGGGTGGACCAATTTATTTTAATTAAACTTAGAAATGTATATGGCTTTCAATCCTCTGCTTGTCGTCTCATTTCCTCCTATTTACAGTGCGATGTTGTTAATGGTTATATGTCGAACGTGTTGGCGGTTAAAAGTGGAGTTTTGCTTTTCTTATTATTTAATAATATTACTATAAACATAGGCAATTTTTGCTCAGTATATCTTTTCGCAGACGATATACAGTTTCTTTTTACTGGGGATACTTCTGACAGGGCTGCTTTGCAATTCAAACTTAGTCACACCATGTCATTAGTTAGTAGTTGAATGAGATATAACAAACTCAGCGTAAATGTTAGTAAAACCAAGGCATTATTGTTCTCTTTATATGCTAATGTATTGGATTTAAAGTGTAATTAAATTCATATACAATTTGTCGAGGTTTTGGAGATTCTAGGAGTGCTTATAGACAATAAATTAAATTTTGCAACTCATATTTATAGTGTAGTCTCTCGAGTGAACATTGCACTGAGAAGGCTTTACAATTGTGACATTTTTCTACCTCACAATTTTAAGCTGAAATTGCCTATGCTATTGTAATATCGAACAACTTCTACTGTTTTGATGTATACTCTGTTGCTAATATGCATAATATGGAGCGAGTTCAAAAGACTTAATAGCGTCGCCAGATATATTTATGGTATTAACATTCATTTTTTAATATTTTTATTTATTTATTAAAAAAATGATTTTTTTGTGAAACCTTCTGAATTTTAAGACCAAAATATAAAAAAGTCTATATTTTCAATTTATTATTATGAAAGAGGGGGCTAAAAATAGAAGGTACGTGTATCGGCGTTTCGAAAGTTTATGTCGGCAGGTAACCTAAAAAGGGAGAGCAATATTTATTTCTGATCGAAAACAATTCGGATTTGAGTAAAATAACATCGTTAACTTTTTATACCCTTCACCTCACTGTGGTACAAGGTATTCAGCCTTATTCTAGATGTCAATTCCATGTGAATTTACTCGCTCTTTCCCTTCGCCTTATTCTGAACAACATTTTCCAGTGAATTTTTTCGCATTCTCGCTTTCGCCTTATTCTGAATGAAGTTCGAAAGCGAAAAAATCCGCTTTGGCGAAAAATTAGGTATTCTGAATTACAGATGAGATGAAATTTTGTGCGAAATTTTTCGCTAATAAATTTAAGGGGAGTTGACTACAAAAGCATAAGTAATAACTATTTTTATGAAAAATATTTACACAATACTTATTCTATGACGATTTAGAATATTATAAATGATAGTAAGCAAATTTTTAACTGGAAAACAGCCAATAAAATGCCATTGGAAATCCTATTGATAACGATGCATGCTGAACCAAGTATTGCCAAAGAATGTATGAAGGTAATAAGGAATATTTAAGTCGAGTTTGATGCATTTTGGAGGCGAAATACAGACATTTGTGTGAGGATCTGTATCTCAAGAAAAAATTTTAAAAATTATGGAAAAACCAAATTTGCCTGATGAGCCGCTTAAGAGTGAAAAACTGATATAAAAATTATGAAAGAACAAAAAATATTTTTTTTTTCAAAATTATCGTGTGCATGATTTGAAGGAAGAAATAAAGGAGTAGGAGCAAATCATAACATAACTGACCACTTTAAGAATTTGGGAAGATAAAATATCAAAATTAAATAAAAAGGCACACAATTATGTAGTGAAATAATAAACTGTGAATTAATTAATTAAATCGCAGATTTCTTCCTATTATTCGTTGCGTTTTTGCCATCATAAAAAAATGTTCTTTTATTTGTAATCTATTGTAGTTGTTGCAACAAATTGCATCAAAACAATGAACAGCTGTTTCACAAGCCATATTGTAGGTTGCCATATTTTCAAACTTTAATTTATTTTCTTTTAATTGCAAAGCATTTATACAGCGGATTCTTGATATTTCACATTTGTATTGCTATAAAGTTTAAATAACAATAAAAAGTAACAATTTTTAATAACAAAAATCAATAAATAATATATTGAAAAATATTACACAATTAAATTACAATGGGGCAACACACATTGCAACTTAAATTACAATATGGCCACACACAGCGCAACTTAATTTACGATATGGCAACACGAATCTTTTTTTCAACCACCATTTTCGAAAACTCGAATCTGCATCTCGCATTTTTTGCGTCTCCCTATTCATTCAGAATAAGGCGAGAATGTGAAAGCGAAAAATTTTTTTTATGCGAGATATCTCCCAGCGAATATCCAGAATAAGGCTGATTATGTTTTTGTGCATATGTTTGTAACATGCAAAAGAAAACGAGATAGACACATGGTTCCTTTTGAGAATATGCATACAATCACTTTCTAAGTCGATTTCTGCATGACCGTCTGTCCGTCTGTAGGTTTGTCCATGTTAAGTACAGGTCCGATCCAAATTGGATAAAATTTGGCATATGTGACTTATTTGGGCCTATTGAAATTTGGAAAAATCGGTTCGGATTTAGATATAGCTCCCATATATATTTTCATCGGATTTTATGTAAATTGTGTACCAAAGTCTCTATATATCCTTCGATTTGCACGAAAATTGTCACAGCGTACTGAATTGACCCTAGAATGGTATGTGATAAGTTTCGTGGAAATCGGTTCAGATTTAGATATAGCTCTTATACCAAAGTTCCTATATATCTTTCGATTTGCACGAAATGTTGCATGAGGTACTGAATTAAGTTTCGAATGATGTGTGTTAAGTTTCGTGAAAATAGGTTCAAATTTAGATATAGCTCCCATATATATTTTCGTCCGATTTAAGGTAAATGGTGCATCAAAGTCCCTATATATCTTTCGATTTGCACGAAATTTTGCATGAGTTACTGAATTAAGTTTAGAATGATGTGTGTTAAGTTTCGTGAAAAACGGTTCTGATTTAGATATAGCTCTCATATGTATATTTTCATCCGATTTTATGTAAATGGTGTACCATACTCCTTATACATTTTTCGATTTGCACGAAATTTGACACAGCGTACTGAATTAAGCCTAAAATGGTGTGTGTAAAGTTTCTTAAAAATCGGTTCTGAGTTCGATATAGCTCCCATATATATTTTCGTCCGATTTAATGTTAATGGTGTACCAAAATCCCTATATATATATTTCGATTAGCACGAAATTTGGCGCAGCGTACTGAATTGAGCCTAGAATGGTGTGTGTTAAGTGCTTTCAGATTTAGTTATAGCTCTCATATATATTTTCGTCCGATTTTATGTAAATGGTGTACCATAGTCCCTATATATTTTTCGATTTGCACGAAATTTGACACAGCATAATGAATTAAGCCTACAATGATGTGTGGAAAGATTCGTAAAGAGTATCAGTCGGCCCAGTCCGACTTTACTACTTTCCTTACTGGTTTTATTCTAAGCCAAGATGTAATAATAACAAATTCTTATTTTTAATATAAAGTTTTTATTTCATTTCATATTTTTATTATCTTTTCATTTCAGTCGGCCATTAAAGGTCTACAGATGAGTGGACTTAACATTGTATCGATAACCGATAATACACCAGTTTCATGGAATCCACCACGACCACGCAAACAAAGAAGTTTGTAAGGGGAGTGTTGTTGGTGTTTTTTTTTAATTAAATTCAATAATATGTTTGAAATTTGTTGTAACATTTAATAAAAAGAAAATAGAAGGAAAAATAAAGCAAAAATTCAATAAAAAATTATGTAAAAAAGTATATTTACTATTTTTTATTTATTTTAAAATATGTTGTTTTTTTAAGTAGAAAAAATGTAATTATAGGAGTGTTTGTTTGTATGTTTTTTAGCTATGCTAATTTTTTATGACAATTATTTTTTATAACTTATATATGTATAAATCATAATTAAATTAAAATTATTATACAGCGTATGTATTATTTATAATAACTATTGAAGAATATATATGGTTTATGTGTCTGTGTGGATTTGTGGAATGATAATATAGGCATTTTATATTTTGTTTTTTAAAAGAGGAGACAAACAATTTTTTGGATTTAAAAAAATAAAAAGTAAAGTAAAATTTAATACAAAAAAAATCCAATTAAATAAAAACAATGGATTTTAAATCGGACTTCAGCTCCAAAACAACTATTAAAAATACTTAGAATCGATATAAAGTTAACTCAAAGAATTTTTTCGGAAAAAAAATTTAGGTTATGATAAAAAATTAAAAAAAAATTAGGTTAAAATGAAATAAATAATTTGTTACTGTTGTTTTTGGGAGCTTACTTGGTGTATTAGACGGCATTTACATTATAACCTTTTACCGGGTTAACCTACTTCATGAGGATTTATTTAAAATATCTACAATGGAATAGACAATTGAAACCCACTGGGTTAACAAAATCCGGTATAATGTAAACATAGTTTTAGGCTAGGTTACTGAAACTACATATCTAAATAAATTATTTGGTGTAATTTTTCAAATCTTTTGTATTTGTTTGCCTTATTTGTCACATTATAGTTAAAGTCCGAATTAAAATCAATTTTCTTGTTTAAAATGTATAAAATAATGTTATTGAATTGAATTAGTTCCCCATTTTGATATAACTTTTTAAATAGGAAATATAATATTTTAAACAAATATTTTCTAACAATGTTAAGCTTCCCTGGGTTTTGGCTATTTTGATGTTATGATTTATTTGAAAACAAAAAAAAAACTGATATCACATCTTGTTTATAGGTATGTTTGTATATGGAAACATTAAGTATGGAACACTTGGGTGTTTATTTTCTATTTCTTTTTTTTTCGTAAAAATAAAATTCATTGCTCTCCACCCTCTAAAATATGGCATATCAAATAACGGTCACTTTTCTCTCCAACAGACATTGGACAAAATCATGAAACATCGCTCGTCCGTTTGTGTATTTTTTTATCGCCTGGGCAACACACTGTGCTCGACACTGACCAAGGATACATTTTCGTTTGGGTGTAGGTACATTGCTATTGGAATTTTTCGCAGCAGCTATGGCTTCATTAGACCTATGTGCAGCAGCATCAGCAGCCTGGAGATGATATTCATTTGTTTCACCGCCAATGGACGGAATTGTGGCTAATGGCGGTAGATTTAGCGAACGTGGCAATTGTGTTTTACCACTTATTTCACTATTTTGGATTACTGGCTGATATTTTCTTTTTCCCAAGGCCAGTTTACACCAACGTCTGCGAGATTTTTTGTGTGGTATTCTTTTATGTGACATAACTTGCATAATTCTACTTGTAGCTGAATCGGTTGCCCTAGATGGTTTCATTTTATTCACCATGGATGTTGTGTTTTCTTTTTCACAATCCCTACATCCTTTTTTTCCGCCATATTGCATATTAAAATCCCTTACAGAGGTATCCGATGTTGACGATATAGGTTGCATAATTTCTGCATTTGCTTTAGTTTTTATTATCGACATTCCCATACGATTTTGTGTATCTCGTGTACATGGTATCTCTTCATCATCCTCGTTTTCAGTGCCTGCCACCTTGATATCACTTTCACAATTTTTACACCCACTACTACCGAACGAAGTATGAAAACCTCCCGTTGACGAGCCACCTGACGGTCCCATATCACCACCATGCTGCCTTCCACCACCACCACCCTGATCACCCATATTTCGATTCGAACGTGGATCATCAGGACTATTACCACCATAATCATATTTCGAGGGACCATCATTATCCATACAATCCATAAAATTCGTAACACATGAAGGTTGATAAATAACCGCCGATGCATGTCCCGATCTGCCAGAACTTAGCGGTGTACCCTGTTCCCAGGTATTTGTTTTCGGATCATATACCTCCACAATGGAAAGGAAATTCGCACCATCAAATCCACCTATGGCATAAAGTTTACCATCCAATGACGTCAGCGATAGAGCACTACGTGCTATTTTTATTGATGCCACTTGTTCCCATACCTGATTTTCTGTATCATAACGTTCCACTGAGGAGAGCTGACGTGTACCATCAAATCCTCCCACAACGTAAATATATTGATTGATGGCCGCAACACCAGCACCGCTGCGACCATATGTCATGGGTTTAACAAAACTCCATTCGTTATTTTCAGGATGATAACATTCAACGGTGGCCAAACGTTCGGTACCATTAAAGCCACCGATGGCATAGAGCAGGCGATTGACTACCACCACACCAACACCCAAACGTTTGGCATGCATAGGCTGTACCAAAAACCAACGATCTTGTTCGGGATCATAGCTGGAATTGAAAGAAGAAAAAACAGCAATAAATTAGTATGAAACCAGTAAGGGAGCTAGTAAAGTCGGACTGGGCCCACTATATGATACCCTTCATCACTTTGGGTGTATTCTACATAGTCTCCTAATCATTTTTGGAAGAACATTGACATGACATTGAACCAACGATTTATAAGAACTTTGGTGCGTCATTTCTATTAAATCGGACGAAAATATATATGGGAGCTATATCTTCTGAACACACGAAACTTAACACACATCATTCCAGGCTTAATTCAATACGCTGTGCCAAATTTCGTGCAAATTGGTATATAGGGACTTCGGTACATCATTTACACTAAATCGAACGAAAAGATATATGAGAGCTACATCTAAATCGGAACCGATTTTCACAAAACTTCACGTACTTCATTCTAGACTCAATCCAGTGCGCTATACCAAATTTCGTGCAAATCGAAAGATATATAGGGACTTTGGTACACCATTTACATAAAATCGGACGAAATGATATATGGGAGCTATATCTAAATATGAACCAATTTTTCTGAATTTCAATAGGGTTCGTCCTTGGGCCAAATAAATGAGCTGTGCCAAATTTCTTGCAAATGGGATGATAAATGTCCTACTTTGTTTACAATTTAACATCAACAGACCGACGGATGGACATGGAAAAGGAACCATGGGCCTATCTCGTTTCCTTTTGTCTGTTATAAACATATGCACAAAGACATAATACCCTATACCACAGTGTGGTGAAGTTAAAGTTGTACAGAATAAAACAAACGATTAAATTTATAAATACTTACTATTCAACGGTATTATGATATTCGGAACCAGCTGAACCACCAACAGCATACATAAGTTCATCCATGACGGCGACACCAACACGATGTCTTGGCACTGACATGGGGGCACAGGGTCTCCATTGTTCCGTTAGGGCATTGTAACGATCAACCCAATCAGAATCATACGATGAACCAATCGAATTATTACGCCCGCCAACAGCATAGAAAATACCTTTGAGAAATGCTGCACCCAACCCTGAACGTGGTATACGCAAATTTGGTAATGTTGTCCATGTTTTATCATCTACATTATAGGCTTCGAGTATATCCAATGACTGACGGAAGAAACCGCCAGCCACAAATATCATACGTGTTGTATTCGGTTTACGTTCCTTTACCACGGGCCTTTTGTGCAATGTCAAGTCTTTGAAAATTTTTGCCAAATATTCACGACATGCTGGCACTTTACGTAATACATCACAGTTTTTCATTTGTTCGCGTAGGAATGTTGGTGTCAAAAATTGACAACGTACTGAAAAGAGAATATGTTCCATTTTCGGATAACGATTCTCCTCGTCGTATTTTACCCATTTCAGTACGGCATTGTATACCTCACGTTCACCTTGAACGTTGAGTTCATCACGGCGAATAAGGGCAATTAGCTGATAGGCAGATAATTGTAGGAATTCTTCTTCTTGGCAAACCTGGAGAGGAAGGTGAGGGGTTAGTTGCGTTATGGAAGCAAGTTAAGGTTCATGGTTCTCACCTGAGTAAAATGGCGTTCTATAAAATGATTGGCCTTCTTTTGCAGCTCCGTACAACCATGTTGTTCGGCAAAATTTGCAATCCCTATGGCATTCGTTGGATCCAACTGACGCTCCAAAAAGGCACAGCAGGCATCTATCACATTTGGCACTTGGAACATGGTTGCGGCAGGTAATAATTGACAAACCGTCACCTCGGTCACCCGTATGTGTCCCGTATACATGAAATATATAATACGACCCATAGCTGTTGGGCACACCTAATGAATATGTTAAGAAAAACCCTTTGTGTTTGTTAGTCGACAATCGATTTTCCAGAGCTTTGGTATGAAATGGAAATCCTATCCAATACTAAATACTAACCCCTTGTAATTGAACACGTGACATTTCGGTTTCTTTAAGACCACCGGTAAACATGGCCTTAAAATATGGTGATGCTGCCGACAGTACAACTTTATGGGCTGGAAATAGTTCATGTTTAACCTCCAAGATGACATCGGTTAGCATGTTATGGGAACGCATCATAAACATCATTTTGAGAGCTTCTTTTGCATAGTTCGACATACAAAATGTCATATCATCTTCTTTGGCATTGAGATCATCGTGGTCTTCTTCGAGGGTCGATGAACCACCACAGGCACTTTGACAGACCCCTGACAAATTTCGACTACTATCGGATGTAGCATCCATGTCAGTAACTGTAAGTATAAAAAAGGAGATGGAGAATTTTGTTAGAATATATGGTCTAAACTATTTAGAAGGCATACAGAAAATTGCCTGTAGATTAAAGACAAAATGAATAGAAATTGAGAACAATTTTGTTGTTTGTTTACAAAACCTAACAAAACAGCTGATTAAATATCAGCTGGTAGTACAAGAAATTTCATGATTTAATAAAAAACTCGTGTTTAGAAGTAATCGGTATAGACAATTTTAGATTAAAATTGAAAGCATTTTGACAGCTCGGCTGAAATCATCTGGCCTTATCGGACGACCTTATTATTGGATCATGAGAATATTCTTACTCAAGATCTATTAATAAGGTCACCATGATAGCAATCGAAATCGGAAAACAGCTGTTTTTTTCAAGTCTAATATCACAAATTTGGACTTTGTTTACGTTTTCATACTGAGTCTTGTTACTGAGTAAATTTTCCTTATAAGAATTTGCAAATACTCAGTAACACTGCAGTCAAATATCCTCTCTCAATTTTTTTTAATAATTTGTACAAATTATTGATTAAACGAACGAACCCATTATTAATCTGCCCTCGTATGATTGGACGATGATGATTAACTCTATGAAAAAATTTTTAATAATTTATAAATTATATAATTTAAAGTAAACATTATGTATAATACATGTGACGTACACATTAGCAGTATATGTACAGTTTGCGCATCATAATACTTATTTATGTTTTTGCCTGTACGTCACACACTTCTCAGGTTATGCGACTTATCTTCTTTATCATTAATAGTGGTATGCTATCTATCTACTATCCGCAAACTTTGTGTGTTCACAGTAGACTTTGATTATTTGAAATCGATTTTTTTTATTATCATTCAATAGAAATGAATTATCTGATTAAAAATAGATTTATGACGACCGTATGGTCCCATGAAGTGGGGCTGGGAGTGAAGGCGAAAAGGGGAATATATGTAGACATTTTGTTTTCCTTGGAAAAAATTAAAGCAATTAAAATTTTGCCAACATTGATACTAAAAAAACATAAAGGGGTGGTTAAAAATGTTTCGATTTCAATATGACTGGCTGATCAATTACCTTTTAAGGAAAAAATCTGAAACCTCTTATCACTTGACTTCTAAAAGAACCCACCACACAGAATGACTTTCGCAAAAATTTTGTAAGTCTCTAGACAAATTAATTAAAACGACACATGCGAAAAGGCGGCAGAGCAAGTCTTAGAGATAAACATTTGGGTTATCGTTCATTTACAGACAGTCAAATGTAATTGAGCAGATAATACAATTGGAATTCAACCAAATCAAATATTTGGATTTTGGACAGATTTTTTGTGGGATAACGAGGTATTTTCAAATATAAATTATTCTTTAAGTTTTTACAGCATTGTATATCGTCAGCTAGATATATCGTAGCTTCCATATATAATTTCGACTTATTTATGTTTATTGTACACCAATTAATCAATAGGTGTCTGATTGAGATTAAATTTTAAACAGTGCAGCATACCGAATAGCGTGTGTCAAGTTTGCTTTAAATCGATTTACAATAATATGTCCCACTGTGCGCAAACGACTCTAAACTTGCCTAAATGAAATGAAATTTAGCATAGGTTCCAGAAAAACATAAAAATCACAAATTTAAGTTCGTTCAATTTCATGACAAAATTCCTTAAAAAAGGCGACATCTTTTCGGATACATATGTAGAATATACCCAAAGTGGTGAAGGGTATCATATAGTCGGCCCAGTCTGACTTTACTGCTTTCCTTACTGGTTTCTTATTAAAGAAATGACCATATTTTAGATCGCGGGCATGATAACTCCTCACTGGAACATCGGAATCCGAAAATACCAACGTTGTTAGAATGAGTACTTGTCTGGCTCTCGTATGGATTTTTGACTCAACAAAATGGCGTACATTTGAAACAAATTATTTGAAAAATCGAATATTTTTGACCACAAACTAAGTTCAAAAATAAGGAAGATATTCACCGATTGAATTTATCCTAGTTCATATACAATATATCGGCTATATCTTCAAAAGTTGTTGAGATTTAGTGTAGGATCGAATCAAATAAAAAACAAAACTATATTTTTGGTAACTGAGAATGTGTTGGTTCCCTTAAAATGGGCAGTGGAATATGTCCAATATGCGATGTCTTTATCCGTAAGCTGGGTCCAGAGTTCGTGTCCAATAGGAATTGGGTAACTGTTTATTCTTTGCTGGCATAGATGGTCACCGAGAATAGCCTAGAATAAATGCTTAATTGTTTTATTGGCTGGGCGACTACATCTTTGTGAATGACTTACAGACTTTCTAATTAACCCAAAAAAGCAAACAATAAGTCGGATGAACTTCGGGGATGGTCCGTGTTTTTAGGTCAAAAAGATGTAAACGTCATATACTAGTATAAAATGTAATTTTCCAGAATATATATTATTTTTACATATATCTGAGTCCTAATTTAGATTAGGCGAGTTTACTTGCGGCAAGTCTTTGCTTGTAGGAGAGAGGGGCAAAGGGAATAGAAATGAAAAAAAAATTGCTCGTACCGACATTTTTCTGGCAATTTGTTTTGTGTATTTCGTATTTGTTGACGTTTTATATATATTTAAATGTGAAAAAACAACAAATAGAAACATATTTTGGAAACCGAATTGCCTTGTATAGACGCATGAAGCAAGTTCAAAAGAGAACGACAAGAATTGCCGCAAGTAAACTCGCCTAATCTAAATCAAGACTGACTATTCCTTACTAGAACTGATAAAAAATTCAAAACTTTTTGGTGAAGAAAATTTTGAAACTTGATGTGAATTTGAATAAAGCATTCGTAATTTCCAAATTGATTAATGGAAATAGCTATTTTGCAAAAACCTAATGGTTTTTGACGTCGGAAATGTATGCCATTTACGTCACTATTTCTGGCGGACCATCTCTGATCAAAATTCTTAAAATCTATTAAGGTTCGTCAAATCTAGAAACAAGTTTAAGCATTATCTGTCCCGGAATGCCAACCGAAATGGTTGTAATTACTTGAATATAAACATGCACGGCTATGAACATAATTATAATGGTCCGGAGAATTTATATGAGGAATCTGTGAAAATATTGGTCTACATTCAAAGTCTTGACAGGATGGTTATATGATTGGGGGCCAAATTTATGTCGATTAAATCTAGCCCCTTGGATGATACTATGGACAATTCTAAGCAACTTTGTTGAAGGAACCATAGGTCTATATCGATTTTCGAGTCTCCCACTTTTCAAAAGTGTCCCTGAGTTTTGGCAAACCTTCAGACCCAATCCCTAAGAAATGACGAAAAAGAAACTGGATATTATTTACGATGGGTTTCTTGGATTTTTTCGATTTGGATTTTTCCACATATATTTTCTTATTCACATTTTTACACATTTGAGATAAAATTGTCCGGAATTAAACTCCTGGAACTAAATGCCATTGCTTCAACTGGTTCTTTGTCAATTCTATATTTCGAATTTAAAATCAATTATTAAAAAACATCGGGGTTTTCCAACTATCAACTGGTTTATTTATCACAAGAAAATAAATAATACAGATACATACATACACATTAGCACTCAACATTAATGTGACGTCTTTTACATTTTCAAAATTGAAAAAAAAAAAAATTAATCAATTTAACGGAGATTCCCCCATTTACACATTTTTGTTGTTGCTATTATTATTATTGCATATTATTTTTTGTGACCTTACACAATATTTCTTTCGAAACTTTCTCGTTAGAATAAATAACCACCGCCGACGTTGTTGCAGTATCTGTAAGTATTCCATTCGAACGGCAACTGAATATTACATGCCGGCTGGCTGGCTGCTATCACTGCAGGGTGGTTATACCCTGCCGAAGTGAAATCCACTCAGAAAATAAATTAAAAAAAGGGAGACAAAAACAAAATAGACAATAATGCAATATTTGTTTAGCTTACGTGTGTGTTTTTTTTTAATTTTTTACGAAAAGACTTGAGTCTTTTCTGTATTGTTTTGCATTTTTCTTCTATTTTACATGTATATACACTCAACGAAAAAAAGTGATTATAAAACTGTTAATATTTACAATTTTAATAAAATCTAGAATATATTATAAATGGATAACTTGCATTCGATATTTCAATTTTGTGTTAGCTAGTTACATTTTGAGCATATAATTTATTATCTCCTCAAGATTTGATTATCAATCCTGTTCAAATGAAAGGACTTTCACTCTCATAAGAAATTCATTTCAACCCACAACATCTGGTTACTCAGTGTTATAAGTCAATCGACATATGAAAAAAGTCCTGTTCAATTCAGAAATGATTAATTTTTAATATATATATATATATATATTTTATGAGATTTTTATAGACCTATTAAACAGTACCGGCATTTTTCTTTTTGTGCATTTAATTATGTCTGCAAAAATGGCACACGTCTTCCTTTTATCGCGGCATGACTTTTTAGTTTGAAACTGCGCATTATTCCAAGAACTGTTATATAAATATGATTAAATATATATACAAACATATTTCTTAAAATAAACGTAGCTTATCAAAGAAAGATTCAATTTTTATATGAGAAAAGTTTATGTTTTTATTATCGAATCATAATTTGTCATTATCAAGTGAAGTGGGTGGGCATACCCACGCGTTTAGCGGCTGAAGAAATTGGCTAATGTTCTATGGAGTATAAAATGAAATAAAAACTCAAGTATATGGGGCATCTGGCCTTCATAATATATCACAGTAATCGAGATTAAATAACCAGTAAGGGAAGGATCATAGACTGACGAGGCCGACTACTAGGGCAGTTCGGAAAGTTTTTAGCCTAGCACAAAAAGCGCGGTATAAACAGAAAAAGTTAAGTGATTTGGAAGTGTTATGAACACATGTTAAATTTTGTTCGATCTGGCAACTCCTTCTTATAGAAACAGGTGTTCAAAAAAGACGCATCCGAATTTTTTTTACAATGACAGCACGCATTTCTAATTTTTCTATTGTAAAATATTGCGTATGCAACAAAAACAAATTACAGCCTCCAGTTGAGTAAAAGTGTGATCGAATTGTCGGAAATTTTTTCAATTATGCAAAAGGAAATTTACATTATATTAAATCGAGCAGAAAGCGAGTTAAGATTGGAGTTAAAGCAAGAAGACCAAAAATCGTACTAAGCGCATTCCTATTAGAAAAATTATGCAAAGCCCTAAAATTTTCGCAAGGAAGCTTGCAAAGAAGTCCAAGGAAGAGTGTGGTGTGGAACTTTGTCGCAAAACAATTCGATAAACTCATCAAGAACAGCACGCAAATTAAGGGAAAAAGGTATAGTTCTATGGAGCTAGAAAGGCTGAACACCATATCAACAGTCAAATTTTGAAAAATGTCAATTATTAATATTTTTTGAATTGTATTGAATGAATGCAAAATATGTCAGAAATAGCATCAAATTTTAGAATAAATTTAGATTTGTTCGAATTGGTCACATTTGGCGCGAATTATGACATTCAAACGGCCAATGAAACCGTCACACGTTGCTCTGTGATCTTTTGGCCCATTCCTGGCGAAGCGCTTGCTTGAGTTGATCGACTCTTTGGTATTTTTTAGTGCAAACCTTGCTTTCCTAAATACTCCAGACACAATAGTCCAACGGATTGGTATCCGGTGATTTTGGTGGCCATTGTGCGCTGGAAATGAAGCGAGGAGGAACCTCATTTTATGACCAAATTACAGCCTCCAGTTGAGTAAAAGTGTGATCGAATTGTCGGAAATTTTTTCAATTATGCAAAAGGAAATTTACATTATATTAAATCGAGCAGAAAGCGAGTTATGATTGGAGTTAAAGCAAGAAGACCAAAATAAGCGTACTAAGCGCATTCCTATTAGAAAAATTATGCAAAGCCCTAAAATTTTCGCAAGGAAGCTTGCAAAGAAGTTCAAGGAATAGTGTGGTGTGGAACTTTGTCGCAAAACAATTCGATAGACTCATCAAATACTCATTAAGAACAGCACGCAAAAACCCCCTACTATTTGCAGCAAATTAAGGGAAAAAGGTATAGTTCTATGGAGCTAGAAAGGCTGAGCACCATATCAACAGTCAAATTTAGAAAAATGTCAATTATTAATATTTTTTGAATTGTATTGAATGAATGCAAAAAATGTCAGAAATAGCATCAAATTTTAGAATAAATTTAGATTTGTTCGAATTCAAACGGCCAATGAAACCGTCACACGTTGCTCTGTGGTATTTTGGCCCATTCCTGGCGAAGCGCTTGCTTGAGGTGATCGACTCTTTGGTATTTTTTAGTGCAAACCTTGCTTTCCAAAATACTCCAGACACAATAGTCCAACGGATTGGTATCCGGTGATTTTGTGCGCTGGAAATGAAGCGAGGAGGAACCTCATTTTATAACCATTCTTGGGTGGCGCGTGCTGAGTGCGATGCTGCTGAGTCCTGTTGGAATGCCCAAAACCTGCGGCCATAATGTTTGGGTGCCCAAGGCTTTAATACACCCTCCAGAATATTTTCGCAATACTATTCGGCATTTATTCTGATGCCACGGTCGATTAATACGATCGGAGGGCGACCATTGGCTGTTATGGTGGCCCACACTATCACCATGGCCGGCGCTTGAGTTCTGGTGGCCAACCGAAGCTGCATATTTTCAGCTGACCTCTTTGGCAAGTAAACACGATAATGTTGTTTGTTTACTAACAACTGGACTACGAATGTTTTCTCCTCGGAAGAAACCTAAATTCGCAGTTCACCACTTTCGGCCAAGTGAAGCAGTTCTTTTGAGTCTATTTTCTTTCTGTTGCGATGTAAGTTCTCTAACTTTTTCGAATTTCAATGGCTTTACCACGAGATCATTTTTCAATATTTGCCGAATGGAATATTGCGATATGGTTCAGCTTACGAGTCATTTTTCGGCCACTGCGACGCGGGTTTCAATCAAGTCGCTTCTTTACTTTTCGAACCATTTCTGCTGATGTTGCTGTTGTCTTCCGTCCACTTCCTTGTAGTCGGGCTACGCGCTACCACTATCACGGCAACGAGCGATGGTACGAGACACAAACGATTTATTCACATTTAAATGCTGGAGTGCTCTAACGATAGCCTCTAGAGGTTTTCCAACCAAATAGAAAGAAATCAGACTATCACGCTTGAATTCCATCACGAACAACTTTTTTCTGGAAAATTCTCACCAAAATGCTTTTGTATGTTTTTAAACAATATAATAAGCTATCACTGGAATAATTTTAACAGCTGTCGGACGAGTGGCTTAGAAATGACAGCAGTCTGAAGTTGGTGGCAGTTTTTTCATCTCACCCTGTATATGTGAGCTATATAAATCTGAACCGACATTCTTCAAGAAGGTTCGTCCTTGGGCCCAATAAGTGACAGAGTCTAAACGCAACCAGAGAGTCACGAGTCAGCGTCATACTTTTTCGCCGGCGTGAAAACCAAACGGAAGAGTTAGCGTTAGCGGCACAAAATGTCAATTATTTGTTTTCATTTTCTGACAGAAAAGTTTACGTTGTGCAAACCAAAATCAATTTATTATTTAATAAACAATAATGTCAAGGAACTTGGATAAAATTATTGAAAAAATTATTTTTCTTCCATTTTATTATTAATTCGTTAAAAAACATCCACAATCTTTGAAAATATTTGTTTTTTTAACAGTACTGCCATATGTTTTGATATAAATTCTCATTGAAATTTGGTAGCACTGTTGATTTTTACCTAAAATATGGCAACTCAATTGAGAGCAAGAGAGAAATTTTGAGTATGACGCTGAGCAAGGTAGATATACAAGGTAGCCGCATCGGCGAATTTCTACAACAAACATCGGTTGTTGTATTTTGATATGTCAAAAATATTTTGCCAAAACAAACAGATTGACAACATTTTTTTACACAAATTCTTGTAGAAAATGTTAATAAAAGTATTGCCAAAAAAGCTCTTCGAAATTCGGAGATTTTCATTCATAATTTTGTTTTTTAATTTTTTGGTTCAACATTACAACAACATTTTTGACATTTATTTGTCCAACAGCTGGGCCGATGCGGCTACCTTATTAAATATACCTTGACGCTGAGCAAAAATGAATAAAATCTATTCTAGCGTCATGCCGCTAGACGCGAACGTCAGCCGTCGCGATTTCCCGTTGCCAATAAGAAACACACGGCAAACGACTGTCGCTGACTCTAGACTCTATGGTTGCGTTTAGACTCACATGTGGCAAATGGGGATAAGTAAATCGACCTTCGACTAATCGATTAATCGACTTTTTGTATTGAAAAGTCTAAAGGCCGAAGTCGATTTTGATTTAAGAGAAAATCGTAAAGTCGACTTTTCAAGATCGACTTTCGATTTTCTTCATAAATATTAGGTTTTTTTTATCACAAAGCTCAAATTGCTCAAAAATTGCACTTTCCGGAACTTTACTTTATCTGTTCACAATAATTCATATAAAAAATCAAATTTTTAGTCGATTTTGCAGAAGTCAGTAAAAGTCGAAAATCGATTTTGAACAGTTTTGACAAAATCGAAAGATCGAAAAGTCGACTTTTTAGTCATAGGCAAAAATCGAAAAGTCGACTTTTTGGTCAGAGGCAAAAATCGAAAAGTCTAAAAGTCGACTTTTGCGCTCGACTACGTATCCCTAGTGGCAAATTTCATCCAAATAGGATAATAAATGCGATCTGTACTTTGTTCACAAAAATTCATGGACGAACACACGGACGCATAAATCTACTCAGAAAGTGATTCTATGCATAGTCTCACTCACATTTTTTCTGAGTGTCTGTTTTGGTTGTTTTCTTTCATTTTTTTCTTTCGCCAGTAATTGCTATTTAATAAATTCAAAATAATAATAAAAAATGCAATGTCATGCTCACGTAGACCCTAGACAGCGTCTAAAAATCGCAATGAATGAATGAACATGAAACACAACGGAGTCAAGTGTTTTATGAGAGACGTCAGATTGCAGCAGTTGCTAGCAGCTATGGAAGTGAGAATGTCTGTATGTAGATAAGTGCACAACAACTCGTATATGTTGTCAATTGTCGTCGTCGTTGCATTGTTGTAATAATGAAAATTACGTTACAAATTAGTTGTGACAAAACACGACATAAGCAGACAAAACAGATAGACAAATAGGCTGTGAGGTAGACCAATTATTTTTCGAGTAAAAAACACAAAAATAGGGTTTTTAAGTGTGTGTGTGATTTTTTCGTAGAAATAACATAACAACAAAAACAATAGTGCAATAAACATTTGAGAGGCACGTGTGATTGTTTTTCTTGCGAAAAAATAAAGAAATATTTAATATTAGTAATCAAAAAAGATAAACATTGTAAATAGAAAAAATAGGTACGAAAAAAATACGTGTTTTTGCACAATGATAATGAGTTTCGTGGGATCGGGAGAGGTCACACATATTTAATACTACATATTTACTTATTTTATTTTAATTTTTTTCATTTTTTTAAATAAACAATAAAAAAAATGTTGTTTTATTGGAGATTGGATTAAAAGTTTATTTCTGACAATTAAAGACAAAACTGATATTCTATAGAAATTAAGTGCTGGATTTACCATTAACTCCTTAGCCAAAAGTTTTCACGTGCATAGATCAACAATAACTCTTGTTAAGAAAAATGAATACACCATAAAAAAGTTCGTTGCACATTCTGAATCTGCCCCCGGTCAAAAAAAAAAGACACTTAAACGTTCGGAGTTTCCGAAAATGGAAAGAGCATTGTTCAAATGGTTTGCAAATCAACGAGCGAAGAACTTGCCAATCACATCTGATATGCTCACGAAAAAGGCCAAATTTCTGCATGCCAAAATCAAGGAAAATCCGAGTGACTTCGATGCTAGCAATGGTTGGGTTTAAACCTTAAAAAAGACATGGAATCCGGAGACTCAAAATATGTGGCGAAAAACTGTCGAATAAGTCTGCTTCTTTTTACCTGTTTTGCAAAAACTAAACACAAGAATTGACGATTTAGATTTAAAAATGGTGCAGATGTGACACTTGTTTTAAGCGGATTTGGTATGCAGGTCTTAGGCTGCGGCTTAGCTCGCCGGAAATGGGTGGATTCTTTCCGCTTTAAATGTCAATATAAAATTTATACCTGTTTTTGAATTCAAACGAAATTTACTGAGTTAAATAAATGAGAAGTTAAGTTTAAATATATCAATCGGATGTATTCCAAAATATTGTACCATTATGCCATAGTTTAAATTGAACACTATATAGATTTCCACTTTAACGAGATTTAGATGTTACACCTCAATGGCTTTTCCCTCCCCTTATGACGTTTTTCAGTCAGCCATGGTATTTTCATGCCATTAATTTTTGAAAATACCCCAAACACAATCAAATCAGCCGCTATCTAATTAATTTTCAACCCATTTTTAGTTTTTTTATTAATTAAATTTACAAATTTAAATTTTTTTATTATTCTTCTAAACCAATTTATTAAATTTGAAGTATTTTTAAATATTTAACACAATAGTTTAATAGTTAATTTTCTTATTGTTTCTGATTAGAATATGTTTTTTTGTAATATATAACATGTCTTTTTAACTTTTAATAGCATGCACTTATTTTTATGTTTTCTTACATTATTTTATTTATTATATATTATATATACAATTTCTTTTATTTATCTGTTTTTATATTTATATGTATTTTTAAATTAGCATTATTGATTAATATTTACTTTAGGTATCTTATTTTAATTTTTCATATTTCTTTCTTTTAAAAATTATTTTTAGGTTATATTATCGTATATCATAGAATTTTTATATGCAAATTATATGTTTTCTCTAAGTATATTTTAATTATTTTAAATCAATTTTAATTATTGTAGGATATTTTCGTGAATACCCTTAATACGATATAATTGTAATGCAATTACTAACGCCTTAAAATATTCTTTATAAAATCAAAATGGTTATGTAATTATTGTGAATGATGTAATCACGTGGATCATTAGATTATGGTTCTTTATGGCAACTTTTGGGTTTGAGGTTATAGCAAGTTTTTTTGGGTTTTGGTACTCACTCAAATTTTGGTTCTATTTTCCAAACCTGAGGATTTTAATTAATGTTTTGTGGGGTTTCTTTTAGGCTCATTTTGTTATTTCTGTCACCATAGAAATATGTTTGTGATATGTGGTGTATCCGCCTTTATTTCACAGCTTGTATTTGCTGATTGCCGCGGTTAAAAAAATCAGCAAATAGTTTAGCTGTGGTATTTTTTTGTTTACCACTATATTCTATGGAATATAATAAATATTTTTCATATTTAAAGAAAATGGATTAAAAAAATATGTTTCAATAAAAGATTCTCACCTGAATATCTTGTTCAGTCGATTTTTTTTTTATCTTAAAATTTTGTTAACCAACAAAATTATCCGGAAATTATTAACTATTGATTTTAAAAAATATATAACTGTATATTTTTTTTTTTGCAATTTTATCGTTATTTTCTATTTTTTTAATGATAAAATTTCACCACTTGAAGTAATAAAATTGCTTGACTTTTGGTGACCTCTTTTAATCAATGTGACAAACTGATTGTTCACTGTGATTCTTTTTAAGGTTAACCTCACACGTTGGAGTTTCATACCAGTGATGAAAAATCGGATTTTTCCAACTATGGTGGATCCTACATTTTTTTTTTAATGTTTGGCGATCTATATAGAGGGATCTTACACATTTTTAATGTTCGGCGGCAATTGTAGGGGGCAGTGATGTCAATTGTTTATTTAATAATTTATTTATGTTTTTTGGTTAATATTATTTTTAATATTATTAATCAATATTACTATAATTGTTATTATTATTTTATAATCATAAAAATGATAAAAATCATTTTAATATATTTGTTTGGATATGATGCGATTTATTGTTCAACATCGACATATCCAACATTTTGTACTGCCGATCGTACAACATTTCACCTGGGAACAGTTTGGTGTAGTAACGCCATCAAAAGCAAAAAGGTCAGTTTTCGATCTAAGAATCCCTATAGATTTTTTGTTTACATTTTTTTAATTGGATTGGTGAATCCGAATAATATTATTGTAAAAAAATTACAAAAAGGAGAGATGGGGACGACAAATATAGCTGCTGCCTGGTTTGGTGCCAATATTTCCCATCGAGGAACAGTCAGAGTCTCTGCAGAATACTTTGGAGGTGATTATATTTGTTTGGTGTTTTCAGTTGGTTGCTGCTGGTGGTATATGTTCATTCACAATGAATGATGGAAAAAGGGTAAGTGCTTATCAAAATAATTAATACCAACTTGGATAAATGTTTTCTTTTTTCTTTCAG